CAAGTCACACACGAGGGAAGTTCCCTCGCATGGTGTTCATGCACAAAGTCCGTCACTAGCGGCGTCCCTTGCCAAGTGACACACGAGGGATGTTCTCTCACATTGTCTTCATGCACGAAGTCCGTCACTAACGGTGTGCCTTGCCAAGTCGCACACGAGGGAAGTTCCCTCTCGACATGAACGGTGCTTATTGCGTGATGTCCGACTGAGGGAAGTTCCCGCTACCAGGCCGACACGAACGGTGTTCTTGCGTTAAGTCCGTCACTACCGGTGTTCCTTGCCAAGTCACACAAGAGGGAAGTTCCCTCGACGTCGACTAGGCCGACACCAGCGGTGTTCCAGCTCGAAGTCTGTGCAGGCCGACTAAGGCCGACACGCGCGTACTGTACTTGTTATACTGTCAAGTCCGCCTAGAGGGAACTTCCCTCGCCGAGTCCACCAGGAAGGGAACTTTGTCGCGATGTCAAACATGCCGACACAAGTGGTGTATGTGATGATCTCGTCAGGCAGAAAGGCCGCGAGGAAGGGAACTTTGTCGCGATGCCTTGCACGAGAGAAGTTCAATACGAGAAGAATTCTGCTGCCAAAGTTTCAACACAAAGGGAAGTTTATGAAAAGTCTGCCACGTTGGGCCTTTTCCCCAGACCAGAGGAGCCATCTTTGTTAAAGGACAAGGTGAGCTATGTTATACAATTCAGTTATGTGACGCACACACTGAGCGTTTGACTGCTGTACAAATATTATCTGTTATCATACCACAATAAAGTTACTGTTTTAACACTGAACACTTTACATTACTGAGGTCAAAGCCCCTAACAACGCCTTTTAAAATGGATACAACGATTACCTTCAACTCTTACATGGCTATGGCAAGATACAGTATAAGATATTTAAACCAGGCATAGGTATTTCAACATGTCAATAAACTCCAGACAGATTATTTCAACATGTCACATGTTTACAATGTTTACAACAAAGCGTCATGACATGTTAGCTGCAATTTTTACATCTGGTATAGGTAGAATAGGTATTCGAACATGTGTACTGAATAACACAATACGAAGACTACTCAATACATCTGTGGTCAATATTAAATGTATGAAACTTCAACTTAACAGTAGCGTGGTGCAGTTTAAATCTAGATACGACCTCGCCCTCGTCCACCTGCACGGGAACCGCATGAGGGACGTCCACGACCTCTGTTCCCACCTCGCTTCCTCTTCTTACCCACTGTCGACCCCTGGACGAAAACTAATGAAAATTGCATCATATGATTAGTAACAACTAAGAAGCATGACGTCTAAATTTCATCAAATAAAATTTATAACATTCCTTCCAAAAATTCCTCTCCCT